AAACGATATGCCCATTATGTAATTCTTCGTTACTTGTTCCCGATAACTCTCCATTAATATTTCCCTCTCTACTATCATATGTAACCGTATCTGAGGCAATTAGTGCTAAAGCCAAGTTGTTGAGGACGTTAAAGTTTTCTGAAAAATACTCATTGCTCGAGTGGTCGTTTTAACCTAACGAATTTTGACCGGTAATGATGGTTTCATGTGTCTACCAATGTATGCCTCAACTTAGGGAACTCCTTCCGCTAGGAGTACCTTAAGTTGGGGTATGCAATTCATGGGATTGTAAGGACGCTAATTGCTTGAATTCTGTCCCTGCCAAACACCAACTACGACAAATGACAAGCAGCCATCTACCGATGTTAGAAAAATATTGCAGTAAGTATTAATTTTGAATTGCCACTTCACTGTCGTAAATGTTTTGCAACACATTTTCATGGGCCAAATATGTTGAAAACTTCTTTTGCTAAAGATAAATTTTGCGATACTAACCCGTAATTCCGTGTTGTAGTCGCCTGTGTTGCTGTAGTGTAGTTTTATAAGAAAAGGAGTTGTTACAAATTTCACATTGAGATTTAGGTTGATGCACATCTTCATGGTGTCGAAATCCCCTTGAGGAATAGAATGTTTTGCCACATTCGGGGCAAGTGAAGTTATATTTCTCGTGCATTTCAAGATGTTTTGAATATTCCTTCCTCGTCTGCACAGTCGTATTACAATAACGGCATTTAATCTTCATCCGCCCAACTGGAAAATTGATATGACGCTCGTGTTTGCTAATATTTTATATGTAATTAATGAATATAATTTGAGAAATGACTGTATCAGTATCATTTATTAAACCTATCAAAACACATTTAGACTAACTAAAATTACGAGATGTTGCTCATTTTTTTATCCTGTTTTTTTTTTTTTAAACAATAAGCTCATTCTTAGTGCTGCCTCTAACGGAAGAATATCGGATAAGGGGTAATTCTGAGTTTTTCGCTGCAACGAGATCAGCTTCGGATTTGGGTTTCTTTATAGCTTATTTTTTCAACTTCATGCAATTGAGTAAAGGATAAACTGAAGGAATTGAAATAACATGTCATTATATAATGTCTCAGTACTTGTTTTCGTGTCCACGAGTATTTCCTCATCTACTGTTACATGTACCCGTATCTGAAGCAACTAGTATTAAATCCACGTTGTCATGGTTGTTAAAGTTATCTGACATTGCCCGAGTGATCGTGTTGACTTAATGAGCTTTATGATCGTTTCATGTTTTGCCGAAGTATGCCCTAACTGCAGATCTCCCGTTGGGTAAAGAATGAACATTTCTTAGAACACCAGTGATAACATTATTTTCACCATTGTCAACATCATTTAAATTCATCGGACTGTAAAGAAGCTAATTCCTTGAATTCTGTCACTCTGTTCATTATCACATCAGTAACTGCCAAATACCAACTGTGGCAAATAATAAGAAGCTATCTACTGTGGTTAGTAAAATATTGCAGTAAGCATAAAAGCATAAACTGAAAGGATTAAAACGATATGCCATTATATAATGCTTTACTACTTGTTTCCGGCAATTATCCACTAGCATTTCCCCATCTACTGTTATATGTACATGTATCTGAGGCAACTAGTGTTAAATCTACTTTGCCACGGATATTGAAGTTTTCTAAGAAATACTCTTTGCCCGAATGATTTTGTTGACTTAATAAGGTTTTTGATCGTTTGATGTGTTTACCGAAGTATGCACTACTGCACATCTCCCGTTGGGCAAAGAATGAACATTTCTTAGACATCACTTTATTGAGTAAAAGGATGTGATCAGAGATATTTCGTAGCATATTTCCACGTGTATTATATCAGTTGCATAAAAATAATAAAAATTTTGCTGAATTTGCGAAACTCACGAGAAGCTTTGCAGTAACGTTCCTTGTGTCTAGCCAGTGAATGGCTGTAGTTGGAGGAAAAATCACACTTTTTGCATTTAAATTTAGGTTGATGCATTTCCTTGTAGGATGATGGTTGATGCATTTCCTTGTAGGTAATTTCATACATACAGTAGCAAGTGGACCGGATGAAACCTTTAGCATTCCAAAAATTGAAACAGATAAATTAGATGTACAACAAATGATAATTAGTGATACCATTGAAACCGGAAGAAATTCAGATTGCTCCTGGCATACCTTACGATGCAATTTCACATTCTGTGATCTCATATATGCAACTCTTCTCCCATGTTCCTTGTCGCAGTTCATTGGTACCAATCCAAATACGAAATATCTTGTGGCCCATTCAGGATATCGTCCATG